GTGGAAGACCAGGAACCCTTGAAGGCCACTGCACTGGTCAGCCTGCAAGAGAAACAATATTTGTTAATTTCCTCGACTCAATGATTTTATACTATTTAATCCAGGGCCAGCTCCAGGAACCAGCGCAGCAAGCAGGTGCCTGGGGCGGCCAACGAAGAGGGGCGGCACATCCGGCTCTTCGGCGGCGGGTCCCTCAGTCCCTCTCGGAGGGAAGGACCTGCCGCCGAAGAATGAAGCGATGCGGTGGAGCTGCCGCCGAAGTGCCGCCGATTGCGGGGCCCCCCCCCGCTGCTTGGGAAAATCTCATTGCTGATTAACAGCTGACAGCAGGATTAGTCAAAAGTTCTGATAGTGAGTTTCTGTGCAAGAATAAAGTTCCAATAATTCTCCTTTTCCTAGAATCAGAAAAGTGTAGAACGGGAAGAGACCTCACCTAGTCCAATCCCTGGCCTGCAAGGCAGGATTTAGTAATAGTAACTAACAGTTTAAGAGGAATGTTAGTCAGCTTTAATTTGGGCCTTTAAGTTACCCCTTGGATGTTGCCATAGGAGATCATTAATTAGTTTGGGTGTTAAGGGAGGGCACAATGACAGAATACTTGGAGCTATTAGAGGTACTATTGCACGGACATCTAAACCCTTCAGGCAACGTATCACACTCCAACATCCACAGAGCACTTGTCCTAGAACTAGCCAATAACTTCCACTTGGCACAACTACCAGACAGAGAACTAGTCCTGCTTTGAGCAGGGGGTTGGACTAGATGACCTCCTGAGGTCCCTTCCAACCCTGATATTCTAGGATTCTATGACCTCAGTGTTTCATGATCACTGAAATGCAAGTTGTTTTTTGACAGCTTGGAGTCTGAAGTCATTTATGATCTGGACACTGGTCTATTTGGAACTGGATGGAGAACCACTAGCTAATTTTATATAAGCCACCCCAGCAATTCAAGAGTTACAAGACTATACCAGGGTTCAAAAAGGAACTAGATAAATTCACGGAGAATAGGTCCAATCAATGGCTATTAGCCAAGATGGGCAGGGATGCAAAACTATGCTCTGAAGTGACAGGGGATGGATCACTTGATGACTGCCTGTTCTGTTCATACCCTCTGAAGCACCTGGCATTGGCAACTGTCAGAAGACAGGATACTGGGCTAGATGGACCATTGGTCTGACCCAATATGGCCATTCCTACGTTCTTATGTACTTTTGTAAACTACTCATCAAGGCTGGGATTTGACACATTGATAGCTCAGGGCCTTGCAGTCTATTTAGGTCCCACATGATAGTCACTAAGTACAGAGGTATCACCCCTCTATTACAAGACCCCCAAATCTCATTATGAAGCCATCTCCAAGAGAAGTAACAGCTCCTGAGCTAAGACTTTAAGGGTTCTTTTGAAGCAATGAATTTATTTGTACTTGGCTTGCAGTGCCCATCACAAACATTGGGTTAGGATGTCGGAATGCCCGGTTAGCCTCTTGTTACAATCCCCTTTTGAAGTGAGTACTGCCCTTCTCATAACCCCACTTCTCCCAACCCCTCCAGACCCAAAGATTAATTAGGGAGGTGCTTTAAGACACTGTTTTAGAAGAAAGAGTAAGTATTGGTCTACTTGCCATTTTACGGACTCTACCCAATACTGTATCAATGATTTCCTTCCCAATGGTGTAGTGGCCCCGGGCATAGTTGTTGGCGGCATCCTCTTTGCCACTAATGAGCTGCTCAGGATGGAAGAGTGCACGGTAGTTCCCAATTCGGATCTCATCTGCAGGAAGTTGGATTATTGGTTAAACGGCAGACAGTTAACAGACTGGGGATGTTAGAAGCGTGTGACTGAATGACATTGCTAGCAAAGCCCTCAAGAGTCTGAGGGACAAGCTTCAAGAAGGTCCAGCATGAAGTGGAGACACCAGTGTATTGAAGATACTGTATTAATTTTCAGAGGAGGGGCCTGGGATTGGGGAGCTAGGACTGAAGAAAAGTGCTATCTAGATCGATAGCCACAAGTTTGCCCTGGTAATGCACATCAGAACATGACTTCAAGGTGGAAGTCAAAGTCCTGTTCTGATTCGGGTTACAGTACATTTTAGAATGCTGGCTGGGTTTTCCCCATGTTCTGTCTGTGGGATTATAGCTGCCATATGAAACTTGTGTATTTGTCTTGTTTACTTGCACCTCTGAATTTCTAGTAGCATTTTCTCTAGGGGTGGCATTACATGCTGTAGATTCATAGATTAAGGCCAGAAGGAACCATTGTGATCATCTAGTCTTACCTACCGTATAACACAGACCACAGGACTTCCCCAAAATAATTCCTAGAGCAGATCTTCTAGAGAAACATCCAGTTCCCCGACTGTTAAAAATTCAACATGTTACACAGATTACTCTGCTTCTTCCTCCTGCCATAGGAGATTTGTTCTTTAGTTAGTTATTTTCCCCTTAATCTACAGGGAGTCACCCAGAGCCAAAGACAAGATTTCTGGCAACAAATCTCTGAAATCCTCAGGACTCAAAGGCAGCAGTGAAAAGGTCTCCTGGGTTAAACACCACAAACTTTACAGTGAACATTTATGAAGAGGTTTCCAACATAAAAGACTGTGGTGATCTACTCAGAGAAATACTCTTCACTACTTCAGATTGTTGAAAAGCGTGATGCTTGTTTTCCACGGGAACCAGGTAAACTGGTTTACACAGACTTCATGGGGATGCTTTAGTCCAGGGGTCGGCAACCTTTCAGAAGTGGTGTGCCGAGTCTTCATTTATTCACGCTCATTTAAGGTTTCGCGTGCCAGTCATACATTTGAACGTTTTTAGAAGGTCTCTTTCTATAAGTCCATAATATAGAACTAAACTATTGTATGTAAAGTAAACAAGGTTTTCAAAACGTTTAAGAAGAGTCATTTAAAATTAAATTAAAATGCTGATCTTGCGCCACCAGCCTGCTCAGCTCGCTGCCAGCCTGGGGTTCTGTTCACCTAGGCCGGCAGAGGGCTGATCAGGCCCTGTGGCCGGGACCCCAGACCTGGGGGGAGGGGGGTTTCAGAGGTCAGGGCAGAAGGCTGGGGTGTGTGTGGGGCAGGGTTCAGAGATCAGGGCAGAGGGCTGGGGGGGGTGCAGGGCAGAAGGCCGGGTGTGTGTTGGGGTGTGGGGGGTTCAGGTCAGAGGGCTGGGGTGCTCAGCTTGTGGGGGTGCTCCCAGCCCCCTGCCCTGAGCGGCTTATGGCAGGGGGCTGGAAGGGATATGCCCTGTTCCACTCCCTTCCCCCAGGCTCCGTCCCTACCTCTCTCTGCGTCCTCTATGGAGCTGTGTGCACGCTGCCGCTCTTCCCCCTCCCCCTCGCTAGGGCCATCAGCTGATTGGCGCAGGGAAGGAGGGGGGGGCAGGAAAGCACCGCTGGGGGAAGAAGAGGGGGAGGGGGGGAAGCTTGGCTGCTGCAGAACCAAGCTTCTGCCTCCTGCCCCTGCAGGGGAGAGCAGTGGGCGGGGGGGCTGAGGGCCGGGACTGCGGCAGGGAGCTGCGTGCCACTCAAAAATCAGCTTGCGTGCCGTGTTTGGCACGCGTGCCATAGGTTGCCGACCCCTGCTTTAGTAGCTGGTATCAAACAAGCTTGCTGGGCCAGATCCTCAGTGGGTGTAAGTTAGGGATACCATATGTCCGGGTTTCCCCGGACATGTCCAGCTTTTGGGTCTTTAAACAGGCGTCCGGGGGGAATTTGTAAAAAGCTAAAAATGTCCGGGATTTCCCCCCGGATGGCTATTTAAAGACCCAAAAGCAGCTGACAGGGCAGCCGCGCTGGGGGAACCGCGGCAAGCCGGCGCCACCCACCTTTCCTCCCTGGGCCAGCGCGCAGCTGAGAGCTCCCGGCGTGGCGGTGTCAGCCCAAGGGGCCCGCTGCCTGGCTGGCAAGAGCCTGCAGAGCGCAGCCCTGCCCCTGCCCTGGCACACAGGGAGGCAGCGAGGAGGTCTCGCTCCGGTGTGTGCTGCAGCGGGGCGGGGCTTGTTGACTCGGGCAGAGAGCCCCCCCCACCCCTGCCCCCCTCCCCTCAACCCAACCATAGGAAGGAGCCAGAGGGACTGGGAGGGACCTGCCTGCTGGATGCTTCCTGGGAGCCGCTCCAGGTAAGCACTGCTGGGCTCACCTGGCCCCCTGGCAGGTCCCTCTGGGGGGGCTCCCCTCAGACCCACTGCCCTCAGGCCCTACCCTGACCCTGTTCCCTCAGCCTCCCCCGCAGTGCCCCCTGTACCTCCCACCCCGAACCCACTGCCCTCAGTCCCTGCCCCTGTTCCAACAGCCTCCCCCACAGTCCCCCTGCTCCCCCCAACCCACTGCCCTCAGCCTTGTCCTACCCCAAATCTCTTCTTCCGCCTCTGTCATCCCATCCCCATCGCTCCCCCTGCTGTCCCACCCCCTCAACTTCCCCCCATTCCAGTCCTGCTCCCCTCTGTCTTATCCCCGCCAGACCCTGTCCCTCTCCCCAACCCTCCCCAGCCCAGTCCCATTGTCTCCCCCGCCCCACTCTACACAGCTCTCTCTACCCTGTCCCATTCATGCTCCCCTCAGCCCCTACCCTACTCCCCCCATCCCAGTCCTGTCCCCCCCCCCCCCCCCCCCCCCCCCCCCCCAGTCCTGTCCCCCTCAGTTCCTCCACCCTGCTTCCCCCGGTCCATCCCACACACCCACCGACTCCCTCGACCTCCCTCCCCCCAATCCCACTGCCTGGACCCACCCCCGTCCCACTCAGGACATGCATGAAAAAGAAGCAATGGGCTTAAATTGTAGCAAGGGAGATTTAGGTTAGACATTAACTACCTTTACAGTTAGGAAGTTTTTCCTAAACACTGGACAAATTACCTAGAGAGGTTATGGAATAGCAGTCATTGTCTAACCTCTTAAAAAACTCCAAACACCTGTCAAGGATGGTCTAGTTGTTATTACTCAGTCCTGCCTCAGTGCAGGGGTTTGACTAGATGACCTGTTGATGTCCCTTCCAGTCCTACATTTCTGTGATTCACACTGAATTGCCTTGTGCCACTGTCTAGTAGTAGTGGCACACAGTTCTCTGACATGCAGGTTTATAAAATAGTAGTTAATATACAGTTTAGAGCATAGCAACTTTAAAGCTCTGCATGTTCAGACCAACTGAGCTGAACATTGTGATCTATAGTATTCAAAACTATTAAGATGTGGGCTGAAATAAAATCAGCCTGAATTGCTCAACAATCTCAATGGAATCAGCATTGCGCTGCTATAAATTGTAAAACATTACAGTGAAATCTTGCAAGTATTACATAGCACGCCGCCTTGCCCAAGTGGTAACTAAGCATAACATCTTCCTGTTTCAACATTCTTAACTTGTATCCCTCCTGGAAGTTGTTTTTTTTCCAAACACTGAATGCTGCTAAGTGAAAACTCATAACAGGTTTTTTTTTCTTTTAAACCACAGCACTGAATGTTATTCTAAAATTGTTTTCCAAATATTCTTAAACTCCCAGTTTATCCCCTGCTGATGTTCATTGTGAAAAGTATTGCAGGTCTAATAATAATATTTGGCACTTTTGTAATTCACTGTCCAACATGTGTTTTGTGCCCTCCTCTGGTGGATTTTTAGAGGATAACTGTATAGCTACCAGCTAAGGGAGTTATATCTTGAACTCAAGTAGAAGCAGCTCATGCTTTTAAGTCTGGATGGCTCAGGTTCAATCTTTGGTGACTAGCTATGATGGAGGTTGCTCCACTTATAATCCCTTTAATCAGAAGTTCTGAATATGTTTTGTTGTAGGCAGAACTAGCCTATAGTTAAGCAACCGAAAATTTAGAATGGGAAGTGTTGAAATGTTGGGAAGACTTATAATTTTGCCAATCTGGAACGAACATCCCATCTGAGGGATGGGGGCGGGGAGAGAGGAGAGTGAGACAGGACCAGGAAACTGGGACAAGGAATCCAGAGCGGGAGTGCGGGGCAGTTGAAATCAGATGAGGAGCTGGGGCGGGTTAGACAGCAATAGGATAGACAGACTGGAGGGGACAGGGAAGAAGGGTCTTTGACTACTAGAGACCACTCCGTTCGCCAAACATTTGATTCACGGGAAGCAGGGGAGGGGGAGGAGTAGGGGGCGGAGCGTTCGGGGAGGGGGTGGAGACTTTGGGGAAGGGGTGGAGTTGGGGTGGGGCCAGGGCCCCTTGGAGTGTCCTCTTTTTCCAGGACTGCAATATGGTAACCCTTGTGTAAGTCAGCAACAGGGGGGAGGGATAGCTCAGTGGTTTGAGCATTGGCCTGCTAAACCCAGGGTTGTGAGTTCAGTCCTTGAGGGGGCCATTTAGGGATCTGGGGCAAAAATCTGTCTGGGGATTGGTCCTGCTCTGAGCAGGAGGTTGGACTAGATGATCTCCTGAGGTCCCTTCCAACCCTGATATTCTATAGTGCCACTGAAGTTAATGGAGCTAGGCCAGTTTCACTACCTGAGCTTCTAGCCCTCATAAGAAAGCAAAGTCCAAAATTAAATGCCACACACACCCTAGTGTAGTAGGAGTAACCTGTTTGCTATGTCGAGTCCTGTTTGGAATTAGTGACACATAAAATACAACACTTCATGATTGGACAGTGTTACCAGGGTTAAACCCATGGAGGTGGCAAGTTAGAGGATGCAATCAGGGACATTAGCCATTAGACCCTCCCACCAAGAGACCAGAAAGGAAGCTAAAGAATGTTCTACTGCATATTTAGGGGTCTGTCCCATTATCTTACCAATGACCGTGGGTTCCAGGTCAATGAACACAGCCCTGGGCACGTGCTTTCCTGATGCAGTCTCACAGAAGAAGGTCTCAAAAGAAGAATCCACTTGTTCAGTCTCTGGCTCTATCGGTTTAACTGCCTTGTTGCTGGGAATGGTCCCATCCGGCTGGATTCCATGTTCCAGACAATACAGCTCCCAACAGGCATTGCCCATCTGGACCCCAGCCTGGCCAATATGGATAGAAAGACACTCCCTCTGGAATTAGGGACAAGTCTAGTTACTGCTTCAGGTTATGGAGATATCACACATTGTGGCTACTAGTTCTTCGCCTTGGCAATTGTATTTTGCTCTTTCAAGCTATTTCCTACATGCAGACATTTAGCCCAACAGCAGGTCTTGGTCTACACTTAGATTTCTGGGACAGGACCTCTAGTTTTCAGGTAATACACAAAGAGATTAGACCATCTATAACAGAGTCCTGTATGTGACAGTACCCTTGAGGCAGGGTTTTCCAGCCTGGGGGCAGGTGGGGAGACACAGGGAGCAAAGAATAAGAGCTGTGGACCGATCCAACCCAGCACTGCAAATGGGCACCTGCAGTTTTGGTTTATGCAGTAGGTGACTCCTTGTAAACCACTGGCCTTCTATCCCCCTGCCCACCTTGCACAGCCTCCACTGGAGCATAATGTACTGCACAGGGCTGCAAGCTCAGCTTTCTGGCCCAAGCGTCTCTCAGCTCCAGCAGGTTCTCAGCTCCTCACATAAGGCTCTGCATCCAGAAGCCACTTGTAGACTAAATAATTCACCCTCCCTCCAGAGCTCCAAGCAGCATGTAGCTGGTGAGAGGGAATTGAGAAACCACATGAGTATTAAAAAAAGTAGAAAGCAAGAGATGAGAGGTTGAAAGAACCAGGGAGAGAAGATGGACCAAAAAATTAACAACTGTAACCTATGGGGTTGCCAAGTGTCTGGTTTTAGACTGGAACGCCCAGGCGAAAAGGGACCCTGGTGGCTCCGCTCAGCGCTCCTGACCGGGCCATTAGAAGTCTGGTTGGCAACACAGCGAGGCTAAGGCAGGCTCTATGTGGCTCCCGGAAGCAGCAGCATGACCCTCCTCCGGCTTCTAGGCATAGGGGCGCTTACCGCAAGCAGCTCCCAGAAGCAGCGGCGCGTCCTCCCTCCGGCTCCTACACATAGGCGTGACCAGGCAGCTCTGCGCACTGTCCCGTCCGCAGGCGCTGCCCCCACTGGCTGGGATTCCTGGCCAATGGGAGCTGCAGAGCTGGCACGTGGGGTGGGGGGCAGCATGCAGAGCCACTGGGTCGCGCCTACATGTAGGGAGCTGGAGGGAGGACATGCCGCCGCTTCTGGGAGCTGCTTGAGGCAAGTGCCACCTAGAGCCAGCACCCTGACCCCCTCCTGCACCCCAACCCCCTGCCCTCCAAATAGGGTGACCAGACAGCAAGTGTGAAAAAAATCAGGACGGGGGTGGGGTGGGGGGGGTAATAGGAGCCTATATAAGAAAGATCCAAAAATCAGGACTGTCCCTATAAAAATCAGGACATCTGGTCACCCTACCGCCAAACCCCTCAGTGCCACCCAGAGCACCCTCCTGCACCCCAAACCCCCCAGCCCCATCCCTGAGCCCACAGCTGGAGCCCTCCCCCTGAGCACCAAACCCCTGCCCCCACCCTGATTCCCCTCCTGTGCTCCAAACCCCTCATTTCTGGCCACACCTCCAGAACCTGCACCCCCAGCCCAGAGCCCCCTCCCACACCCCAACCCCCTGAGCCAGCCTGGTGAAAATGAGCAAGTGAGTGAGGGTGGAGAGAGCAAGTGACAGAGGGATGGGGGGACGGAGTGAGTGGGGGTGGGGCCTTGGAGAAAAGGGGCCAGGGGTGTTGGGTTTTGTGCCAGTAGAAAGTTGGCAACCCTAGTAACCTAGCCCAGTGTAAAGGAACATAGTGGCTGTCCATCCACGGGCCTCCACAAGGACATCTGCACCAGGAAGATTTTGGCAGCCCTGGCTTTAAAGGGTTAATCTGACAGATGCTTGGCTTCTAGCAACAGTGTCATGGCCTTAGGATATGAGCAGCCAATAAGATTGTCCCGATGTCATGTTTGGTTTGTGTCTTACTGAAGAGCCTTGATTGTTACACACATTTCCCTCTATAAGCATTACTTCAGTTTCCACGGATCTAGAGACAGATGCAATGGAGGGGCAAGGGACTATTTAATATAAATAAAACAGAGCTTCAGCAACTGGAATAGCTATAGCAATAACCTAGAATTAAAGGTACTTCTTTAAACGCATGTTAAGTACTCAAGCAATTATGGTCAGTGAGATGCCATGAGGCTACATTGCTTTGAGATCTCAGGAGCCAACTCGGACTCAGCACCCCAGGTGAGGGATGAAGGACTACAAATTTGCCCAAGTCACATGATGTGAAATCCAGATGCCAACTGGCTGGATTGCTCTCATGGGATTGGAAGATCTCCCACCAGCTTCTCATCATATATTTGCCAGAGACAGAATTTTAGTCCAGGCTTGATTTCTCATCACCCCTAAACTGGGGGGGGGGGGGGAGCTCAAACCCAAGGCCTTATGGTGAGTCCCATCTCTAGTGGGCACGGCCACTCCTGATTCTATCTGGCTGATATTTGAACTTCTCCATCTCACAGGGCTGGTATTCGTACTATTTGGGAAACGTGTTACTCAGCTCACCCATCCCCACCATTTAGATAGCTGCAATAGTTCTTAGCAAAATGTGGCTAAGGTCACGACCCTGGCCATTTTTTTCCAGCTTTAGCAGAGACAGCTGTTTGGATCACGGACCTATTCTAGTCCACAAGAGACAGCACCTGCTCCCAACATAGCATGGTTCTTGAGATTTTTAAAATGAGTGCGTGGCAAATGGAAAAACCCTTGTGGAATAGCAGGAAATGCAAGTTGAAATAACAGTTTGCTTGGGGATGCAGTTAAGAGGTACCAGATCAACTGTATTTGCATCCTACACCAAGATATGATGTAAAATACAGCTTCAGGCTACAAACAGATGAAACATTGTTGCCCAGATGATTTTTGCATTTAAATTGTCGTGAAAGTGTTAAATTTTTATAACAGGCAAGTCCCTAGAACAGCACTTTGAAGTCGGACTTTACTGTCTGCAAAAAAAAGTTATTTTGAAAACTCCTTTTCTTCACATTTTACAAGATTATAACATCACATTTAACAGTCAGCATTCCACAAACCTTTTTTTAGAACAATATACTTAGAATAATACAAGTCACCTTATTGTAAACTTTCTGGGTAGTTATGTAGATTGCATGCATTTGTAAAGCTTGTATATTAAAGCATTTGAGTGTCAAAGTGTAGGCTTTTTAGAGTCAAGATTACATTAGAAATGCTAAGGGACAGTTGTAACTTTACTCATTTAACAGACAAACCCTTGGGATTACAGTAGACAAAGGGAACATGGCAGCTCATAAGGAAAAAATTATCCTCTGCAAAATCCATTAGTTTCATACATTGTTACTGTTGCTGAAGTGTTAATTTCAAGGGGAAAGACCACAAATATACTGTACTTTAAAAACTTTAGCCTGCCAGAAAACATTTGTGCCTCTATATAGACCAGTTGCAGATAAAAAGAAAAACTCAACTCCTATTAAAAGTTAAACACTTAACAACTCTACAGGCACCAGCTGAAATCTTAGAGAGAAAAACCAGAGTGAGGGGGCCACTTAGAGTAATCCAAGGACTAGCTTTTACCTTATAAGGAGCAAACTGTTGGTTCAATAAACTACAAAGCAAGCAACAATTAAATGAGATAGCTGCTTTGAATTAACATCCACAGAGGAAGGACTAGGTGTATAGATCAGTAGCTTTTAAGAACCCCGTACATTAGCACTAATACAAATAATAATGCATGCCTTACCATGATGACTTTGTAAGCTTCCTAAGATTTAAGCAACCCAGCTGCCTCTGCCTCGCTTCCTGGAACTTTATATCCCAGTAAGAACTGACTCCACCTGAATGTAAAGAAGCACTCTGCTCATTTAAAGGGGCAGAGACCCCCTTTTTGGGCTGGCCTGAAACACAATCCCTTAGGGGCTGGATTCTGTGCTGACTTGCGCTTGGAGCAATCCCACTGATTTGAATAGGGTTGGGTGGGAGGTAGTTTGGCCCCCAGTGTTTTCCAAAGGGGGATTTGATTGAAAAGTAATTAAATAAATAAATAAAACACAAGGGTTTTATTCTAGCTGAAGGGAAGCTTGTGGCTGTGTCATAAGGATAAACTAAGCACTCCCAAGCCGCAGGCTGGCACACGAGCGTGCCCGGTTCTTATTATTTAACAGTTATCCACATCCTGATTAGTAACAAAGCTGTCAACGCTATCTTGTGTCCTGCCTACTGTCACGTTATTGACTTGAACTGGGACCATATAGAACATGGTTGCAACCAAAGTCCTGTAGTGGCACCAAATCTTGTATAAAGGGGGTCAAATGAGGTGTCTAAGACAAGGTTATGGTTTGCTGGTTATGATTATGCTGTCTTTATGCGTGTATCATTTTGTAGTTGGAGTTATGAATGTTGGCTCTGTACTGTCTGTACTTCAAATTTACGCTATGCTTCTGGGTGACATCCCAGACAAGTTGGTGTTAGCTCTGCCTAGCCTGCTTGATGGCCCATTAAGGACCATCAGCTATACAATGGACCCATTGAGAGAAGGCAGATACGCCTTGTAACTCAGCAAAGTATGCAGGAACGTGCCCATGTGACCCCAGACTCCATTTTGCTGTAATTTTCCACAGTGAGAACAAAGAGGTGTTCTTACACCTGGAAAAGACTATAAAAGGCTGATGCCTCATCTCCATCTTGTCTTCAGTCCTGCTTCTTACCTCTGGAGGGACTTTGCTACAAACTGAAGCTCTGAACAAAGGACTGACTGACCCATCCCAGCTGTGGATGTACTCCAGAGACTTGATTTGAACCTGCAGTTTATTCTATCGCTGCTACAAGCCTGAACCAAGACTTTGCCATTACTGTATGGAATTGATTCCATTTAACCAATTCCAACTCTCATCTCTGTCTTTTTCCTTTTTTGAATAAACCTTTAGATTTTAGATTCTAAAGGATTGGCAACAGCATGATTTGTGGGTAAGATCTGATCTGTATATTGACCTGGGTCTGGGGCTTGGTCCGTGGGGATCAGGAGAACCTTTTTTTCTTTTACTGGGGTATTGGTTTTCATAACCATTCATCCCCATAATGAGTGGCACTGGTGGTGATACTGGGAAACTGGAGTGTCTGAGGGAATTGCTTGTGTGACTTGTGGTTAGCCAGTGGGGTGAGACCGAAATCCTCTTTGTCTGGCTGGTTTGGTTTGCCTTAGAGGTGGGAAAACCCCAGCCTTGGGCTGTAACTGCCCTGTTTTAAGCAATTGGTCCTGAATTGATACTCTCAGTTGGGTCCTGCCAGAACCAGCATTGTTACACCTACTCTATGAGCATACTCCTGCAAGTCAATCTGTGCCAAGGACCCCACTGCCATCCGTGGGATTCCCACCTGGGCATAGGAGTCTGCCCGTGAGGAGTGACTTACAAGGTCAGGCCTATGTCTGTCTTATTCTGCTCCCCTTTGTGACAGCTGGTGAAATCCAGCCCTGTGTAGAGCGTTCGCACCGGCTTTGTGCGTCACCGGCGGCCCCCATCCTGCAAACATTGAACTCTGACATCCATGGAGCTGCTCCCATTAGAGTGATGCACGAGCACAAGTGTTCGCAGGTCTGGAGTTGAGCCCCCCAAATAGGAATAAAGTGGTGCCTAGAGCTTAGGCAGGTCCTTGGCACAGGAGTAAATTTCATCTGTCAGTAACTCCTCGCTCTGTGAACAGTCTCCTTGACTTCAATGGGCTTGTTTACACTCTGTCTGTCTAGCTAAGGCACTGATCTGGCCCCCATTACCATGGTATCTGAGCATCTGACAGGCTTTCATGTGCTAATCCTGCAAACACCTTGTGAGGGAGGATGGGCCTATTACCCCCATTTTAAAGATGGGGAAACTGAGGCACACCAAGACCAAGTGACTTGCCCAAGGTCACACAGGCAGCCTGTAGCAGAGGAGGAAATGTGAACCCAGGAATCCTACATCCGAGACTAGAAGCCTAACCACTGGACTGTCCCCTTGGAACTAGCCTCAAACCAGTTTTAGAACTGGTGGCATAGAACAGGTGTAAACAGCCTGAAGTGTTTTTAATGAACCAGTAGCAAGACCAGTTAGTAATACCAGAGGGCCCCCTCATGTGTCCGCCCCTTTGTAAACAGGTTAGTATAAGCAGTTCAGGCTGTCTAGGTCTGGTCCCGGGCTCAGACTCCGGCTTGAGCCTAAACCCCCCTCCGTCTACACACAAATCTCTCAGGCTCAGACCTATGGGTCTTAGGACCCTGCGGGGGAGGAGAGTCTGAGCACGAGTCAAGCCAAGACCCAGGGTTCGAGCCCTATTGCTTTGCAATGTAGACGCAGGCCCCCTCCCCCAACTCGAGTCCCGGAAGTCCACCAGAAGTATCCCACAATCCCATGTGGTCCGTAGCTGATAAAATCATTTGTACCAAATTTGACTGGGGTTTGAAATTTTGCCCAGAAATATGGCAGGGGCGGAGTGGAGGAAGGAGGATGGCTGGGGAGTTCTCTGTATTTTCATGCAGCCCTAGCTGGCTACGTCATGGGGAAGCTAACACAGCAGCCTGCCGATTCCCTCATGAATTCTGACCCAATCCTGGGTGCTGAGAGCTGCAAACTTTTCCCGTCGCAAGAATTCCAGACAGGTAATTTCACATTTCGGGGAGGGGCGTATTTTCCGGGGCCACCTCCCTAACTGACCAGCCCACTCCACTCCCAGATGTGCAGTTCAGTCACTCTTCATTTGAATACTTCAGTTGCATATGCTGCAGGTTCCCCACCAACAGCATGGAATAACATCTCCCTTTGGGGGCGGGGCCTCGGGGAAGGGACGGCGTGGGGGCGGGGCCTCGGGGAAGGGGCGGTATGGGGCCGGGGCCTTGGGGAAGGGGTGGCATGGGGGCAGGGCCATGGTTTAATTAATAAAAAAAAAAAAATTTAAAAAGTTTGGGCACCAGTGCCCCCCACACACACACTTTTAGGGAGCTTCTGCCACTCCTGCGTGGAGCTATTTGAGACAATAACCCTCTGTGCATTGTCCTGCTCCAGCCCCTCGACCTCTGCTGGCTTCGGTACCTCCACAGCTCACTCACGCTGCAGCAGAAGCCTGGGCCAACGTACCCACCTGGACCATTCCAAGAGGAAGCGTTTCTGTGATAAGCTGCTGGGTTAAAGTTCTGGACAAGGCCATCAAGTCGGTGCAGTACCAAAGAGAGAGGACTGCCGGCAAGAGGGACGGCTCAGGCTGGCTGCACAACTTGAGGAAAGTGGGAGCAGGCCCTGTGCAATGGGGTGAGTGGGGAGTGTTGGGGGGCTGTAGGAAGAGGGGGTGTTGGTGGGCTGTGGGGTTGGGGGCTGGGATTTTGGGGGCGAGTGGAGGATGTTGAGGGCTGGGGCCAGTCGGGCTGAGATGCCAGGGACTGCAGCGAGCGGGATGTATGTCAGGGCTGTCAGGGTAAGTGGGGGCTGGCGGAGGGTTGTGCTGTACATATGGGGTGGGAGGGGCATCTGTGTGGGGTGGGGTATGTATGAGACGGAGGTGCTTTGCTAAGCAGCCCCTATTAATAGAGCCCTGCATGGATACAAAATTTGTATCCGCATCTGATCCGTGCTCTGCAAACATGGTCTACAGACATCTGCCTCCGCGGAGGTGGAGATCTGAGGATATAAAGTGGATAGCCGCAGATTTGGAGGGCTCTACCTATTCGTGTCACGCAGCGCTAGCAGCAGCAGAGCTAGAACGAGATCACAGCAGCACCTAATTTGACCTAGCCACCCCTTTGAGGGTGACGGGGAGGGGCAGGAGGGTGTGGCTGGGCCTGGCTGAATCAAAAAATTCAGGCAAAAATTGCTTCGGGTAGAATGAAACATTTTGTTCTACCCAAAATGAAGCATGTCAGTTTGATTTCAAGCACTGTTACTGTTTTTTAAATTTTCCCCCAAATAAAAGGAAATTTCGAAATGAAAAATCAAAATGTACAAATTAGTTTTGTTTTGCTTTTTTTCAAAATGAACAATTTGCCCCAAATGGACACACATTCGTGAAATGTTTCGGCGTCGCTGACTCTGCATTTTTCACCCCCAAAATAGTTTGGGTTGAAAAATTTTGCCCAGCTCAACAGGTGACGCAAGAAAGTTCTACAAGCTGAACAAAGTTCTTCCAGGGAGGATTCCACGTCTCGGGGCCACCATCCCACTTTATGTATATTTTGCCGTATCAGTTCTTCTGGCCTTAGTTTGTACCTCAAGAGCCGTTCCTGGGCAGAGACCTGTTACCAGGGTGATGCTGACCTACCATGGTACAGCACCATGTACATTTAAGGTGGGATAGGAAAGATAATTCTTTTGAGAACATGATTGGAGAAAAATGGAGGTGAAGTCAAGATTGACAGGCCATGGTGGCGCCTTTCCTTTGGTGGCAGGACCACAACTGGGATGTAGCAGATCACACCGTGCTGGCAAGCATGGGCGGCGGGTAGGAAAGGCTGGGGGAGGCTGTGCCTCTCCAAACAGCCAGGCGTGGCCCCACCCACACTCTGCCCCCAGGGGCCCACTTCAGTGGTGCTGCTGGGCTCCAGGAGCTGGGGCCACACCGCCTGCCTTCCTGTAGCTGGGGAGACTGCAGCAGCGCCGCCACACGCTCTCCCTCTCGGCGCTCCGGGGCTGGGGGGTGCTGCTGGCACTAGCCAGCCTAGGGCGGGGGCCACGGTGAGAGTGCTCTGGGTTCCAGGGGGACTCCAATGTGGAAACTACAGAACCCGAACCACCAAAAAAGAAAATCAACCTTCTGCTGAGTTCTGCTGACTCAGATGATTAAAATGAACATGCATCGGTCCGCTCTGCTTTGGATCGTTATCGAGCAGAA